GAGAGCTGCCTCAGGAGCCCCAAATCTAGTTCTTCCCCTTGGTGTGGGGGTCTGTAGCAGACCCCTACCACCAAATCCCTTTCTCCTTGACCTCCATGTAACCTAACCCACAATCCTTCTACTTTCTCCTCCTCCGATTCCATTTTGATAAGGGTTGATGTATAACGCTTCTTGACAGAGCGCAACCCCTCCCCCTCTCCTCCCTACTCTATCCTTTTTCTGTACAGCTTATAGCCCTCACTGTGTACTGTCCAGTCGTGGGAAGAATCCCACCAGGTTTCTGTTAACCCCACTAAGTCATAGTTGTTAGGTGCAGGGCTTCTGGGTTCTGGGGCATACATCTCCTTGACAGCTGGCAGGCTTCGTGGCCTCAGCAGGGGCTAGCAGGCCTGCAGCTGTCACCCCGCTGCGCCTTAACATGCACAGTGTCACCCATGTCACAAGTTTTGCTTGTCCGCAGCTTGAGGTGCAGTTTCCCCCAAACCCCTGCATGTCAGTATGAGGATCCACGTGTCGGTATAAGGGTTCTACCTATCTCCTTGAAACTTGGCAGGCTTTGTGACCTCCACAGGGGCTAGCAGTCCTGCAGTTTTGACCCTGCTGTGGCTTAACATATACATGTGACATGAGTTTTGCTTTCAAGATTTTGGGGTACAGTTTCTCTGAACTCCCTGCACCTATCTCCTTGAAACTTTGCAGGCTTTGTAGCCTCAGCAGGGGCTAGCAGTTCTGCAGTTTTGACCCCACTGTGGCTTAACACATACACATGACACAAGTTTGGCTCTCAAAACTTTGGGGTGCAGTTTCTCCAAACCCCCTGCACCTATCTTCTTGAAACTTGGCATGCTTCGTGCCCTCAGAAGGTGCTACCATTCCTGCAGGTTTTGTCTAAATCAGACCAGAAATGACAAAGTTATAGGCTGTTTCAACCTTCCCCATTATAGCCTATGGACGAAACGTCAAAACAGCATCCAAACGGTGAAATGTTTCGACTTGCCTTGTTTTGTTTCAAGGCTGTTTTGATCATATCTGTTCCATTTCAGTTTTGCTGTTTTGACCTCGAAATGGGTCGAAACAGCGTCAAAACAAAACTGGTGGCTAAATTTTGCACAGCCCTAATGGAGACCACCACAAGATGGGAGAAAATGTCAAGGAAAACAGTACACGTAACTGAAATATTCTTGCTTTATACATTATAGATGTAATTCCAGAAGACACAACAGTACATTGCTTTGTGTGCCGTCGCTGGCACTTGACCCACGCAGTCCAGATTCATCTTAATAAGAATCAGTTGTTAGATGTATTTTCTGATGCTTTCATTTGCCTTTGGATCCACTGAAGGTATTGGCTGACTTTGGTGTAAACTCCAAACTTCTCTGATTTCCCACAGCCTTCTCCCCAGCTCACCAGTCCCACTAGGAATGAGGTGTTCTTGAACGTTGTGATCATGGGACCTCCACTGTCCCCACCACAGGCATCCTGCTGGTCTCCAATGATCCCTGCACACAGCATGTTCTCTGAGATATCATGTCGCATAACTTGGACACACTCATTACGTGGAACCAAGGGGATTTCAATGTAATTGAGAACATTAGAAAAATTCATGGTCTTTTCAGTTTTGCTGCCCCAGCCAGTCACCACCATCTTCTTCCCACTTCTGGTCAGCTCCTGCTCTGCCAGTTCCTTCGTAGGAAGACAAATAGGTAGTGCGTTTTTGTTAAAGACCATGGGCTTAGCTAGGTGCAGCATGGCTATATCATTATCAGAGTCAGCCTTGGTATAGTTTTCATGTATCACTACCTTGTCAACCAAAATTATTTGCTCTGTTTCCTCATCCCTCAGACGGTGATATTTACCTGGAAGAGCAATGAGGAAAGAAATAAGTGAGACTTCCCCTGCCAAAAAAACTGAACAAAATGTCTCTCCCTGTCCTATTGCAAAATTCACTAGAACTAAGACTAAAATACACGGACGTTAGTGGCAGACTTCTAGGACTGTTCTATCCCAAGAGCTGGGATTCATACTGAAAGAAATCTTTGATCACACAAGACTTCAGAGCTATCACTATACTGCATATCAGACCACTTAGCGCTTCATTGACATAGGGATACAACAGTAAAAATAAAGAAATGCAGGGTCATAAATGTAACAACAGGAAGTTTGCATCTGTTCAAAGGAAAAGGAGAAGGCTGAGCCACTAAGGGATTCGTAGACATACAGTAATAAACTAAAAAGTGGATCCTAACTCTTCTGAATGCACTTGTTGTTGTCTCACATTTCTACACTATGATACCACAGATTTTTTTAGTGGCATAATTCATGCTGACATCTGTTGCACTTGATAAAAATACTTTCACCAAAAAAATCAACTGAATTTGAGCATGTATTCCCACCCAGATGTCACAACAGCTCTGTGTGAAGAAGTTTGCTTATTTAATTTGAATGGAACAGAGATCATTATTTGGTAGTCCCAGAGTGAATTTGGTGCACATTTTCTGTGATTCATATAAATACAAAGCCACCAGTACTGGCTGTGGCTAGGTGCCACATTTGCCACTCCACAAAGATCTGCCAGTGGTTTCCCTCTGCAGCACCCCTGTTACAACTATGCCAAATTTCTCCTGAGTAGAGGCTTCCAAGCGTACCCACGTGTGCAGTGATTTGAAAGCTGGATGCAAGCCCCAGTGACGGGTTATCCTCCATACTCTCAGCTCTTGTGATGTCTTCCAGATTTATGTTCAAATATCTAGAGGTGCTTTGTAAGGATCAGCTCTTTAATAACAGAGTACTAATAGTGTTTCCTTCCACACCTCCTCCCCCTGCATCTGGTGCAGTAGAAGCAGAAAGGATTTGGTAGTAGAAAAAGATCCACGTGTCGGTATGAGGGTTCTACTATTTTACTGCACACACACACAGTATGGGCTCTCTTCAGAACGTAGAAACTCATTCAGTTCTACACCCATGTGGATAATTGCTCAAATTAAGTCAAATGGCTTTACTTAGGTTAAAATGATTACCATCTTTCTTTGCATACCATACACCGTTTTCCCAAAAATTACCAATTGAAAATTGGGGTAGGTGTCTTAAACAGTATATTGATTTCCAAATGGTTTGGCTAAAAGGACCTTTTGCCATATTGATAGGTGATTTGACGTCATTACTTCATCTAGGCCTACCATACTTCCTGGTCACATACCCACAGTCAGTCTTGCAGCTCATGTGAACACTCAAGATCATGAATGGAACAAAGTGGTTTTATGTATTTTATAGCTTGTTATATTAAATTACTTATTGATTAATCTGTTCTTTTCCTTCATCCTGCCTTCCCAAAACAAGGTGGGTGTCTTATTCTGGGTCATGGGGTATACAAATAAATATGGTATTAAAAATAGTTTGTTTCATTCTGGACATAGCATTGAGTTGGCTATTTATAAAAGCAGGTTGAGGGAGACTGGGGACACTGCTGGTGGGGATTGTCGATGCCTCCCTTTAGGAGGAGAGGGTGCCAGACATTTTTAAGTCTGTGATTGTCTGGACCCTCCCCAAGAAACCATTGCTTGATGCTACCACCCCAGTCAGCGGTTGCCCTGTCTCCAATCTTCCCATTTTGTGGATGATCACTGAACGGGTAGCTGCCTGACTGCTCCAGGCACATCTGAATGAAGTCTGCCTTGACTGTATCATGGAGACTGTGCTCATGGCTTTGGTTTACAATCTTTGCCTGAAGAGTGACAGGGATTGTGCCCTGCTGCTGTTACTAGAACTTTCAGCAACCATCGATACAGTCAACCACAAAGTGCTGATAGAGCCTACATGACCTGGTGGGTCTGTACAGGACTGCGCTCAACTGGTTCTGCTCTTTCCTAGCAGGGACATCTCAGAGGGTGGTAATGGGTGACAACTTGTCCCCTCAAAACCTTCCTATTCCAATGTGTACATGAGGCCGCTGGGTGAGATTGTGCATATGTTTGGAGTGAGATGTCATTGATATGCTGATGACACCCAACTTCAGCTTGCTTATCTAACTACTGCAATGCACTCTCTGCCGGGCTGCCCTTGAAGACTGCCCAGAAGCTGCAACTGGTGCAGAACGGGGCAGCATGCCTTCTGGTGAGGGTGAGTTGCCAGGAGTACATAACCCCAGTGCTCCAGAGTCTTTACTGACTTCCAGTAGATTTCTGGGCATAATTCAAGGTGCTGGTTTTGATCTTTGAGGCCCTATGTGGCCTGGCCCCTGATCCCTTTGGAACTGCCTTTTCCTAACGTCCCCTTGCAATCCCTAAGGTCAGCCAAGAACAACCTCCTACAAATACCATCAATGCATGAAGCCTGTTTTGACAAAAACATGTGGGACATCATTCTTGATAGGTGCCTCCCAGACTCCCCACCCCTGAGGCCTGCTGGACCCTAAGCCTGCTGTCTTCTAGAAGTGAGGTAGGATCTCCTTGTCTGGGCAGGTTTTCAGCAGACAAGAATAAGCTGGTATAGTATTTAGCGGGGGTTTTCTATATCGTTTACTTTATACACTATTAGCTTTTATAAGTTGCTGTTTCTCCTGATTTGTTTTGTTTTGCTGTGCTGTTGGCTTCTTTTGTAAATTGTTTTGCTCTCTTCTTTAAGCTACCCTGAGCCTTTGCTGAGAAGGGAAACATATAAATTAAATAAATAGATAAAATAAGAGAGATCAGTACAGAAGTTAGTGTTTTTTTCATACCGAGTTTTACTTTGTACCTCCTGTCATCCTCAACACAATGCGCTGCTGTTAGGACCCAGGCTGTATGGATAAGGACTCCCCCGCACTTAAATTTCCCCCTGCCATCTGACAACATAACCTGAAACAAAGAAATGGAGAAGCAAGGTATCACAGGATTCAGCTCACAGGTTGCAGTCGTTTCCATTCTCATGCAGCCGTCTATACTAGACCTTTGGGTACAAAACATAAGATAACAGCTGAGCTCCATATACAGTGGGGAAAAAAGCACCCTAACAAGACACTTGGGGCCCTGATAGAATAATGTAGGTTTGAGTATTCTTTGTGAATTGGTTTTCAAGTCTATGATTTCTCATGAGTTGCAGCTGTCTACTGTTTGGAACGATTGTGGTCCATCTGAGCTTTGAAACTCTTAGCCCAAGTGAGAGAAGAATTATCCTGACATCCACCAAAAGTGTGAACTGAGCAGAAGGTCACATGAGCTCATTCTTATTTGGGGAAAGCCACCGTATGCTGCAAGAGTTGTGTGAAAGGACCTCAATGTACAAGATGAATTCAGGACTTCAGTGCACCATGCTCTCCAGTCCTGCTCCTGTGCAGCCTGAATGTCCTCTATAAAGCTGTGATATGTTCTGTTACATTAATTCATGCTCTAGAACACCAACCTGTGCCTGACAAAGCTTGTCTTATCTTTATAAAAGTACATTCTTATAAAAAATTAACAAAAGGATTTCCTATAACTCTTACAGAGATAATACTACTGTAACCAGAATGTGCTGTAGAATGGAACATTACAGGCGAGACTGGCGTTGTGCTCCATTCACTGGAAATGTTACCAAGGAAAACATGCAGCTTAACAAACAGCAGTGAGGCTAACACAGTACAGTGAAGGTTGCATTAATTTTGGCTACCAAGCTTTTGGCTTTGGAAAGATACATTAAGGGAAAATCTCAGCTTGGTAGGGTGCAACCACTTTTAATCTAGGAGCCTTACTAGAGTATCTGGGTTTACAAAGCAGTACTAGGTATCTACAGACTGAACACTTAACCAGAAAAATATTCTTTATTCCTCACCTGCCAGGGGCTATCTCCTTTCCTTCCAATTTTCCCATTAATGAGTCGAATATGGATATCTTTTTTGGATTCCACATTTACTTTCACTTTTCCACAAGGGAACTCCACTACAAGAGACATAAAGGTGTTACTTGGCAAAGTCCAGACTGTTCAATCCTATCACGGTCAGCTTGTATTAAACAGGAAACTCCTGACCTCACCATCACCCAAAGCCTTGTCTCCCTATGTTACAAGCTGCTCTCAGGGGCTTCTCTGCATTCCCTAAGTGTTTCAATGCGGGAGTAATTCCCTGATCCTACTGAGGGATTTGGCTTCATGAAAAATTCCAAATAGAAATATGGGATGGATTTTTAATGCCAATAACGAGGGAAGTATGTCATGTAGAGAGGAAATGATGCATTTAAACATGGAATTGATGCATTTAAGCTCTTAGAAATAACATTGTAAATGTTTTTCCATGTAAAACTGTAAGCCCTTTTCTCTTGAAGAGCCCCATGTAAAATCTGAATTGTGGGTTTCCTCCCATCTCCTCATCTTACCATCAGGCAAACACTGAGAATAGTCCTCCATTAGCTTATATCCCAAAGCACAGCTGCAATAGCGGCGCTGGTTGCCAGGATCCTCCTTACAGTAATGATCACATCCTCCATTACAAATGGAGCAGTTGGTGTATAGAACCTCTGAGAGGAAAAGGAAAAAGAAAGAAGTGCAAAAGGTAAAAAAACCAAAGGGTTTTGACATTTCTTTTCAAAACTGGACAAGTTGCATTGTAAAACAGAATTGCCTCATCTTGCATCAAGGAAACAGGAATCACTAATGCATTTAGGGTGCCAGCCTCTGGCTTTGGTGGAGTTGGGGTGCTGGATTGAGAATGGGGTTTGTTGCCAGATAGTGAGTGTTTGGGTAGAAGGCAGGGGTCAGCAACCCATGGCACGTGTGCCAGAACATGGCACATGAAGGCATTTTGCTTGGCATGTGTCCCTTGGGGTGGACAGCAAGAAAAGGGCCAGGGCTGCACTGCCACAACAAGGATTGGTCCCCGTGCAGCTCTCCCACTGTCTGCCCCAAGGTGCACGTGCATCCGCTGCCAGCAATGCGCTGTGCCAAGGTTTTGCAAACCTCAGTCCAGCTGCTTGTGCCTCCCTGCTGCTTGCTGCAAGCAGCCTGGGCTCTGTGGCAGGCAGCAGGGCCTGCCCAGAGCCCAAGCCGGCTGTGGCAGGTGGCCAGGAGGCTGCAAGCAGCTGCACTGAGGTTTGCAGAGCCCCAGCTTGGGTTGTTGTTGGTGGTGCATCTACTGTACCTGGGGGCAGATGGTGGAGAAAGGGCTGGGGCTGTGCTACCAGAACAAGGATTGGGCCTTTTGCATCTCCCCCAGCATTTGCCCCTGGCACACCAGCATCTTATAAGTTGAGGTTGGCGTGTTTTTGCCACTCCAGCCAAAAACATGGCCAGCCACAGTATCACAAACAGGAGCAGGGAGAGAGGAAAGGCCAGGGTGTAGTGAAACAGAAGGTACCAGGATGATATGGACTGAGGGAAGGGAAGTTCTTTTCTTTGTCATTGACTAAGTTTACTGCATCTCCTGGTCACTGATCAGCATTTCTCCAAGGAAGAAAAACCTGTATTTCAAACCCCCAACTTCTTGTTTTGTTTTAACAGCTGTTGCAGATCTGATTTTACTGGGCAGAAAATGTTGCTCTCGCTATTTATGGAAGTACCTACCACTAAGAGTGATATTTTAACACAGATATTAGAACAATATTTTGTACACAGCATTACCATGCTGGCATAGAAGTCCCTCCCAGCCTCTGTTACAAATGCAGTTGAACCCTCCAATAGCATCCAGACAGGTTCCATTGTTGCAAGGTTGTTTTTCACACTGATCTCCATCTGAAACACACATAAGGGAAACCTAGACCAGTCTTACAGATATCTCGCATGGGGTCAGAGGTTTACATCGGGCCCCACCTACCCCATTGCCAACCATCCAACATCCACTTTAGAAGTGGTCACTGCAAGGTTGATATTTTAAGAGTGTTTGTATTGCCTGCTGTTTACAGATTTCCAGTGGTTCTGCAAGACATAAGGACAATGTTCTTGAAGACACAGGCACAAGGATGGAAGGACCAGCATGGGGGATAATCAGAAAGAAGAGGAAGTTCTAGTACAATCATGGAAGTGTAATGCAATTAGGATAACTGAGACTTGGTTGGATAGTTCATGGGAGTGGAGTACTGCCATGGAGGAGTATCACTTGTTCAGGAAGGACAGGCGAGAGAAAAAAGTTAGTTGCTCTGTGTATAAAAGGGACAAACCTCTATGTTCTGAGGTGCAGTACAAGCAGGACACAGGCGTGCTGAAAGCCTCTATGTCAGGGTAAGAGGGGAAAAGCAAGGGTGATGTCATGGTGGGTGTCTGCTGGAAACCACTAAACCAGGAAGAGGTGGAATGAGCTCTTTTCAGGCAGCTACTGGAAATATCCAAATTTATGGGAAAATCCAAATCCCAGGGCATGCAGGCACCAGATCACAGCTCTTCCCCAGCTATGGCCCCAGAGCACCTTTCCCCTCAGATGCATGCCCTGCTGGAGTGACACAGGCAGGGGCTGCTGGGAAATGGAGTCTGGCTGCTGGCTGGATCCACAATTTTGCCCATCTCTGGGTTAGACAAACACTTTTAGTTTAGACAGCAGTGATCCTGCCTTCATCAGAGGGTTGGACTAGATGACCTCTGAGGACTCTTCCAGCCCTACTTACTGTTCTAGGAGTCTATGAATACGTTGGATTCCCAGTTACACCTGCAGGGTGTGCAAGTAGTCTGGGGGCAGAAGAGGGAAAGGAAATGTGCTGGGTTTTTCAGGGGTTTCTTTGAGCTAGAGTGTGATGGTGGGGTATGTCCCTTGGTGTGCACCAGGGAGGATAGTAAGAGCCACTAGATTTAGGAATCAGTTTTTGCCCTATGATTTGTCTGTAGAATGATGATGTGACAATGGGCATATGGACATCTGAAATTGTCCATGAAGGCCCTGTGGTAGCTTGGGTACAGAATGTGACATGAGAACATAGTCTTTGCACACCCCATACAATTGGGAAGGAACAAAGTAGAGAGACTTTGGATTACAGTATCGTATGTGGTGGCAGGGAAGCAGAAGCCCCTACTGCCAATGGACTGAGAAAGTGTGCTCCTTACTTACCAATATACTTGGTCCAGAAACTTAGCTGTGGAGAAACAAAAAAAATGCGGAGAAACATGGTTAAAGTAGGAAACAAACTGTTTCACATGAAAGCTCTTTAACTATATTGCTGCCTTGGGATAAGGGAGTTCCAGACTTGGGTTAACACTTGTTACTTTAGTTCTCCTGGACAGACTAATGGTAAGAATGAATTACTTCCAGCTCACCTGGTAAACCCAGTTCACTTTTTTTCTCTTGGCACTGCTGGCAGCAACCTCTCCAGCACACACACACTTAACAGGTTGAAGAGAGCTTGTCAGCAGTGGCACTTGTCCTAATATGTGCTTGATTCTAGTAGTTCAGGTATGGGGGGAGAGGATGCTGTTGGCCATGGGAGGCCCCATCTCTCTGAAATATGGGTCCACCTATACCCCTTATCTCACCTTAGAGGTAAAATGATAGTAACAATTTAAGTTGTTTGAGAGGGGGACAAGGTTTATAGGGGAGGAAGAAAAGGCAGAATTTCTGGTGGGAAGCCAAGCAGGGGAAAGGGTGATCCATGATTTGGGCTGTGAGGGGAGAGGAGGAACAGCTTAGAACTGGTCAAAGGATTGCTGAGAGGCTGGGGGCAGACAAAGCATGAGTAAGGGGCAGATCCTTAGGTGGCATAAACTGAGGCAGTGCCACTGGTTTCAGTTGTGTGCTGCTGATCCACACAAGCTGGGGCTGGGCTCTACCTGTCAGGAGTGCTGCTCCTCTTCCTGGGAACGCGCTGCCTGATGTGGGCTTTAGTACATCTCAGTCAAAAATAAATGCTCTGATGGTTAATTCTCATGTTCACACATATGGGACTTACTGTTGCTTCCCTGCTTTCAAATATCTCCATTGCCTCTTCCAGGTCACATGATTCTTCATTACATTCTCGCTCCAAAGAGCCTGCCTTGAGCTCCTCCAGAAAAGAGTTTTCTCGCTTCTGGATTTTCAGGACTTTGTTTGCATCTTCACGGCTGTAAAACACTTGAAGCAGATGCAGAGGGAGAGCAGAGAACCATGAAGGGGATGAGGAATGTTATTGAACCTGGGTTTCCAGCTACTTTCGGATATAGTCTCAAAGTTATCATCACTGGCTAGAGATATTTTCTGCCTGATTTTCAGAGGTTCAGAAGCAGAAAAGGAGGCACAAACTACCCCAGGCTGGCACAAACTCCAGAGGAACACAATCAGTGAAGATGTGTGAGCACAGAGGCTCAGCACACTCCTGGCTCAGAGTGCCTATCCAGATGGAACAAGCAATGACTGAAAATCCTCAAGAGTGTGTTTAAGGCAAAGCAACTGCATTTTTGCTGGAAAACTGCATGGTTGCTAATGAAAGCACTGGGATCGTATGGTGTATATACTAGGGCTGTGCAAAGCTTTGGTCCCTGATTCAATTCAGCCCGGTTCGGTGGCTGAATCTCCGAATCTGAATTGAATCAGAGGACCCTTTAATTTTCCAAATCGCATCAGAACCCTCCAAATTGATTTGAAGAGATTCCAAAAGATTCGGCGATTTGGCCATAGACACAGCTTTAAATGTTTTTCCTACATACCTCGAGGTAACAGCATGGCTTGTGAACACTGCGATGCTGGGGCGCATGGAGCGTCCCACAGAAGCGTGCTCGGCAGCAGACCCGGAAGTGGACCAGAAGCACTTCCGGCCCACTTCCGGTGCAGCACAGGAAATTAGGCATCCTGTTTTGGATGTAGTAGTTTTAACCTGTGGCAACGTAGAGTAACTCCTTGCCAAGGCATTCTGGAATTGTTCTATTCCAGGTGCCTAGAACTGGTGCATAAGGCCTGTGATAGAGGACACCTATTGGTGGCTGTTCAGTTTTTGGCTTTTTCCCACAGATGGTTCAGGTAGTTCACTCCTGCAAGAAGAGCTTGCAGTGTGTCAGGAAGGGCAGGATTTCATCTTCATATGGCATGCACCATGGCATATCCCCCAACTGACTCTGCATCTAGTGACTTGGAGCATATTTCAAGCACAGCTTCCTTGACTTGATTGTTGGCTTGCCTGCTACATTGCCCCCTCAATAGGTTATGAGATTAATACATTGCCGAGGTGGATCAAGCATCATCCATGAGGATGGATTAGGGGAAGCCTAATGCTCTCTCAGACAGTGAAGACCCATTGGTCAAAATGCATGTACTGTAAAGGCAGAAGGCATTGGCTGCGGTGGGAAAACAGGCTTAAAATAGAACATACGTTGCTGTTTCTGTCTGAGTTAAGATTCACACATTAGACTTTATGCTAATCTACTCTTGTTGCCTAACGCACTAATTAAAGGCTGGATTTGCAATAGGACTCTGGCTACAATCTAACAGGGCTTCTGACAAAAAGACATATATTTCAGTGTATTGGGGCTTATTTATTGCAATGAAAGACACATGCAGTAGGAGCCTTGCGGGGGTCCTGCCAGTGAGCTGTGCTGGGAACGTTATTTGTACTATTAGTCAAAGGCCTGGTCTGTTCCACTGTGGGTACAGCATCACAAGCACAGGCAGCGGTAAGTGTGTTAGGGTGGATGGGGCTGAGTTTTAGCCACATCAGCTACTGGGCAGAATTAGGCATTGTGGTGGTACTGGTTCCATTAGCCTGTGTACAACAGGCCTGCCATCACTGATACCACAGGTGAAACTGCGCCAGTGACAGCATGGAATTGAGGGTTGCACGGGGGGTTGTTCCCAATGAGAGTCTGTAGTGCAGAGAGAAGTTCCCATGGGAACTTACCTGAGGCCTCAAGTAGACAGAAAGAGCAGGCAGCCAACAATGTCCAGGAAAAGGTCATGAATCTCCACATAGTGCAGGAGGTGACACCTGAGAGAGTAAACAGCATGAAAGAGTGCACCCGCTGGGCTGCAGCATGGCCCCAAGATAGAGAAATGTCCAGCTGGAGAGAAGATCAGTACGATCCTTCATGTATTGTCTACATGGCAGGTTCACATCTGAAATGCTGACTTGTCCCTGCCCCTAGGTGGATTCCAGATCGAAAGCTGTGGATCACTGAAGTCCATCCTAACCATACGTTAGCTCCCTCTACACAGCTCCCCGCCCACTCCCTGCCACATTTCCTTTCTCTCTGAACCTTCTCCCTCCTGCCCTCTCCTCATCTCCTACCAAACAGCTTTGGCACAGTTCACATTAATTAAATAAAGCCTCACTTTTAAATACAGAAGGATACCATACTTCTGAAGCATACACTTACCCAGGATGAATCCCAGCTATCTAGTCTTCTGCCATGAGAGCTACTGCAGGCTGGTTAATCCATAACCTCAAATATTTACTCTGTGGAGCTAAACCAAGGGCCTTTGTTTCAGTCACTAAACAAACAGTGGCCAGGGGAAGCCCAACAACTGCTTGATTCAAGGAAAATGTTTAAAAGGGCCTACCTGAGAATTTGCTGCCTCCACATCTCAGTTTGGTTCCTCTTTTTTCCTCTAGTTGATTTATTTCATTTCAGGCTTCTGTTTCTAAATGCAGTGCCAGGAAACCTGTCAGAAGGATCTGCTGCCTTCCCCACACAGGGCTGGCTCCCACTACAGTTTTCTCCCCCCTCTATTGGAGGTAAATTGTTTAGTACAGTGGTTTTCAACCTGCGGGGCGCAGACCCGACAGTCCGCAGACGATATCTAAGGGGTCCGTGAAAGATGACTATGATCAATCAAAAGTATGTGAATACCCACACTTAGGCTAGGGACAGATATTACACATAGACAGATTTAAGTGATCAGAAACTGGCTTAAACCTGTAACAGAACAGAGGTTCCATGCACATAAGCCAGTTTGAGAATGACTGAAACTGGTCTGAAATAAACCTGGTTGAATGTAGTATCAGACTTAACTGATTTGGCTCAAACTGGTTTATGCAATGTCTGTCCCAGACCTCTTCCTGGTTTAAATTAAATCGGACTTCCCCAGCATCCCAGCATGCTGTCTGAGTGGGTGGGATTCTCTGCTCCACAGCAGGGCTGGCTCCTCTCCTCTGCTCCCTGGCTGCAGCTCCAGCAGTCTCTAAAGACATCTGCCTGGCTTCTGCTCCCCCCTCCCCACTCTGTGCTAAGCAGGCATTCCCCCGTCCCTCACAGACACCTCTCAGCATTAGCTAGCAGACCACATGCTGGCTACCTCTGAATTGTGGCACATAGGACAAAGGCAGAATCAAGAGATATCTGGCAATGTCCCTCTGTTTTCTTAATGGGGTGATAAACACTGAGTTAGGGGTGATAAACATTCCTTGCTGGGCTGTTGCTGCGGGGGGAGGGGGGCACGGACCACTCCCTAATCAGAGTATCCTGCTGGGCCTGGCCATGCCCCCCTCAGCTCAGCACTGTGGAAGGAAGGAGGGCTGCTCTAGGGCCCCCTGGCTTCTAGCCTGAGCCACTGCAGGCATGTGCCTGCATTTCTGGGATGTCTGTTCAGATGAGGCTGAAGTTGGATTGTTATACCCAGTTCCTTATTCCCAGTTTCCGGTTCCTTTTTCAAAGTTAATCTATACCCAATAAAAGCTTGTTATTAATGAATTACACATCTTAAAGAGACAGAATTTCATTAGGTGTGCTTATTTACTAATTAATATGTAAAATAATATCCTGCATCAAGTACAGAGCCCTAATTGAAGATCACATTAGAATGGGATTATGGGGCAAAATATTTCTTGGGCCACCCCAAACTTCCTGTTGATGCCACTGGGAGACTGTCCCAAAGAACCCTGAGTGCAGTCCTGCCCAGCCCAAAGTGCAGTTTGGCCTTGTCAGGCTGCCAACTGAAAGCCCCCCCATGCCCACTGTACTAAGTATAATGGATCAAATAAGGAATTTGTTTTTTCGCTGGGATTATGGCTGGAACTCCTTCTTGGAACACCCTAGCACATGCCTCTGTACCACTGGGAGACTCTCCTCGACATCTCTGACCAGAGTCTTGCCCAGCCCAAAGCACAGTTTGGCTTTGCCAGGCTGTCAACTGACAGCCCCTCAGCCACTGTACTAAGTATATGGATCCAAATAAGGACCTGGCTTTTAGGCTGGGGTTACAGCAGGAAATCCTTCTTAGCTCACCCCACATCATGCCTCTGTCGCACTGGGGGACACTCTTAGAGAACTCTGACCAGAGTCTTGCCAGGCCCAAAGTGTGGTTTACTTGTGCCAGGCTACCAATTGACAGCAACCCATGCACACTGAACTAAGTATATGGGCCTGAATAAGGAACTGGGTTTTGGGCTGGGATTACAGAAGGAAATGCTTTTTGGACCACCCCGTACAATGCCTCCGTGCCACCGGGTACTTGCCAAGACACCCCTGACCAGAGTCTTGTCCAGCCCAAAGTGTGGTTTGGCTTTGCTAGGCTGTCAACTGAGAGCCCCCCGCTCCTCCCCCTCAGCCTCTGTACAGTACTAAGTATATGGACCCGAATAAGAAACTGGCATTTGGGCGAGGATTATGGCTGGAAATCCTTCTTGGGTCACCCCACAACATAACTCTGTGCTGATGGGAGACTCTCTCAGACATCTCTGACCATTCTCTTTCCCAGCCCAAAGGGTGGTTTCTTCATGCCAGACTGCTAAGTCACAGCCCTCCATGTCCACTGTATTTTTGGTTGGGATTACTACCTTCCGTCTTTGAAATACACAAATGCGTGAAAAATTTTTACAGTTACAGCTACACTCTTAATGCAAGACCCTGCCTCACAGCACCAATTTAAGCAAGAATTATCAACAGGTACTTGGTAAATATTCCTTCCTTCTAAAGACATAGGTTCTTATACTAAAGACTAGTAGAACTGCTCAAATAGAGACGTCATAACGCATCACAGGTAAGTTTTGCATAAATTACTATTATCAAGTTTTCTAGCAAATAGAAAATACTTTACCTATTTTAACATTTCAGGATCGAAGGTAACAAGTGCAGTGGAAGACAGAAATTGAGTAAATGTCAGTTCATTAACAAAAAAACCATGCATGTTACTCATAACACTTTCAGAGTAAGAATTGAAAAAATTGATCCTTCGCTCTTTCCACTAGTTATTTCTATATGTGACCGTAAGTAAACTGGTAGTGTAAGATTAAGTTGTAGCCATGATAACATTAAGTAAATAGAACTGAACCTATATGAATACCTATATATAAAATTACCAAACCATGAGTTCTCAAATGCCATTTGCTGGCTTTTCAGAGATGGTAGTATCCTGTTCCCTTGCCCCCCAAATTTCTTTCTTGTATTTATGTCTTCTGTGTTTAAGTAGATTGTATGTTGCTAGATGAAACATGTCACTAGTCCCAATTAATACAACAGAAAACATGAGACATGAAAATTTATCAATCAGAGTTTACTAAAACACTGGTTTTGTCATTGCAGGTATAAAGTAGTTGGTAATGGTACAATATTGGTGAGCATTTTGTATGTTTCTACAAACTTGGTGATACTGAGAGCTGGTGTTACTATGATGGACTTTTAGAATTCAAAAGGTAGGATGTGAAGATACACCAGCAATGAAGAAGAGTTCTCCAAACCTCTTAGGAAGGAACGTGCACCAAGCCAGGTTGTTGCTGTATGGATGTGTTAGAAACTAGACATAAGGAAGAACTTCTTTATGGTAAGGGTTTCCAGAATCTGGAATGGGCTCTCCCTCCCCTACCTTTAAGAGGATACTGGACGTACACATGGCTGGGGTCGTCTGACCCCAGCACTTTTTCCTGCCTAGGGCAGGGGGTCAGACTCGATGATCTACTGAGGTCCCTTCCAACCCTGAAAATCTATGAAATCTATGAAACAATAAGAGCATCTGCAAGGATACAGATACACATGGATACTTAAATACATACCAAAGCCACACTCTCAGGGAATTAAGAATGCTGTACTGGAGCTAATGCAAGTCAGGTTGGGTTCACCTACTACCATAACCTACGGTAGATGGTATTACCTGCGACTGTTAATGCTGAGTGCTGGGTGGTGGTTAAATAACCTGGCAACCTCTAGGTGCTAATGGCCTTGTGCAGAAGAGGATCTTAGATTCGGGTATTAGTCTTACCCCTGGTGGAGGAAATGCTGCCAAGATGTGGCACCAAAATCCACCCTGTGGTAGGGTAGACTGGGCTCTTTAACCCAGGTCAGGGTGGCCATTAGGCCTGTGGAAAGCAGCTAGTATTCGCTTCAGATTCGGATTCAGCCAATTTGGGGACAGTGATTCAATTTGGTGATTTGAATCACTGTCCTGAATCGATTCGGTTGCTGTCAAATCTGCAAATCAGCCAGGCTCCATCCCCTGCCTGCTCTGCCAGCCGGGCAATGGCTGCCCCAGCTCCAGGCACTTGTTAAAAATAAGTCCTGACTCAGCAGATGCTGCCAGGTGCGGGGAGATCCTTGCTGCCCCCCACGGCCCCACGCTGCATGGGGGGCTCTGCCATGAGCCCTGTCTCCCCCCACTGTCTCAGTCCCCCCATGGCTGCTCTGCCCCTGCCACGGCTCTGACCCTTTAAGAAAAAAACCCGCAAAACCCCCGACTCACGGTTCCTGCCAGCAGGGGGCGGTCCCTGCTGCCCCCCCCACCATGTGGGGGTCTCTCCACGAGCCCCCCAAAGCCCCGAGGCCACTGCAGGAGCTGTGAGTCCCAAGGCTTTTTTTGGTTTTTTTTGAAGGGCCAGAGCTGGCC